TTTTTTTCCCCCCCCCCCCCCCCTTTGGCGTTTCGTATGATTAACATGACTCGTGGTACTGTCAGGAGGCACCCACCCACATTCATTCACCGACACATTTTTCAGCTCAAATTCAGAGTTTTTGTCTGTCACTTTCTTGAGCTGGGTTTAAGCAGTCCGTGAAATAATTCATGACACAAATAGCTCTCCTGCAGTTCAAGTACAAAAAAAAAAAACGAACAGGAAAGGATGTAGGGCAAAGGAACACGTAAAGAATAGTTAAACGTGACAGATTCTTTTGAACTGGTGTCCGATTCTTCCATCCCCAAACTTCAAGGATTAAAATGTAAGCAAGGCATTAAGATTTTCAAATAAAACCCATTATGTGATGGGTCAGACAGCTTTTAACAATACACAAGTTCAGAGGAAGGTAGGCAGGAGGAGTTAAGCCTGGTCAAGCAGAGTTCACATGTTAGCCAACACAATGACTGTCGGAGATAAATCTGAGCAATTTCCACACTTTACAAGGCGTTCACTTGTCCAGCGCTTCAAGTCAGGTTGGCTAGCGTTGGGGAAAGCAGATCTCTCTCACATGCCCCAGACAAATTGCTCATGTGCAGTGGGTAGGTAAATCTCCAGCACAGGGAAAAGCCTGAGGGAAGACCATCACAGGGGCACAAGCAGCAAAAGCATGACAGTCAATGAAATATGGCAGTGGCACTGGAGGGTCGCCCACCCCACCCCACATCCTCACCCCATTGGGTTGGTACACGATAGAGGAGGTAAGCGAATGCCATCGGCCTTAATCCCCTACTGTTTTTTATGCCAGTCGGATGAAAGCACTTGAGAACAACATAGGCTCTCCAGCGTAATAATGGTGAGGGACTGTCAATTCTAAATCACTAACCTACAGATGGGTTGCTCATTGAGTTGAACAAAAATTACCTAGATTAGCACAAATGGTGCATTCATCCAGAGCGTAAGTAAGAAAGCTCGATGGATATTACCTATATGATCGCATGTTTCCCGGGAGGGTAAAATGACTTGGATCACTCAATATTGATTTTGCTCCAAGCAGCTCCACTTAATTGGGCAGTCATTTGATTCCTCACACTAGTTTACGTGGTGTTTTCACACATATAGTTAATGATGGTCAGGTAGAGCTGTGCTTGCAGCATGAACAAATCTCCCCACAGACTGGTGGAAGGAAAAAAAAAAAGATTTTAAACAGTCCTCCTCAGTGGAGACTTCCCTTGAGGGCAGATTACACACCAGTGAGAAAAGTATCTGTAAAAAAAGTAATATGACCTATGGAGAAAAACGACAAACAAATAAATCATACGCACACAAAATAGCCCAGGTCATTTTAGAAAGTGACCACCCCAAAAAAAGAAACAGATGTTCAAATTAAGCACAGTAGGTACAATGGCACGAAAGCAATTTTAGCACAACCTACAGTCATCATGTGCACAGAAGAAAAAATATATATATTATAATAATAAGGATGTGCCAAACTATACACTTGGAAAATTAACTTGACAGTGACTTGAAAGATTCGTATGATGAAGAAAGAGTCATATAAATGGGTTAGTTTAGAGTCACGTTTACGTTTAGATACCGATGGTTGAATTCATAAACAGAAGACTGCAATCTGACATATAATTGCAAAAAAATTAACTTTTTAACTTGACATGAGGTCCTAAATAGAACTAATACCGTGAGATTCTGAAATAAGTCAAGTAATGCAAAGATTCCTACTACAACAGACCAACAATTACACATAATAACAGGAATAATGTTTCACAACAGGCGATCTGACATCTAGCAATAATTGTCTTGAAATTTACTGAAAGCAGCGAATGTTACAAAAGCAGTGCTGCATTATTTTAAAGGGGATGATTTCAGAAAATCTCTTTGCAATGTCTTGAGTTATAAGTCTGTGAGCAAACAAAAAATTTGACTAAATAATGAATCATGTTTATTATAAATAAGTAAAATTAGATATAAAAACATACAAATACATGCTATTTAGATTTATATGAAACAAGAGGAGACCCAGAGTAAGATACGCAGCCCTGCAATTACCATGGGAGAGGGGAGGCATGGCATTACCGTGACTGAGGGATTATCAACTGGCGGCACAGTTAAGACCATTAGTATTGTGGTGTTGTCCTAACTAAACAGCAAAATGGAAGGATATAGAATGGGTCTTTAATGGACACTCCCATACAATCGGTTCTAGGATGCATAGAGCAAGTAAATGATATACATCTAATATAGAATTCAATGTGTGGGCCATTCTGTCAAGCGGTAGATGGTGGTGGTTAAACGTTTCAAGCTTCAAAGGGAGGTAAAAGTATTGGGCTGGCTGACCTATGATCCACACTTTACTCCAGCTTTGCATGACCACAGATATAAGACCTGGACATCTCATGGTATTACTGCCCTTTGTAAAATTATATTAAACGGGTATTTGGATAACTTTCAGAACCTATGTCAGAATTTTGATCTCAACAGACAGGATTTTTATCGGTATCTACAGGTACGGCACTTTTTCTGAACAGAGATCAGAAACTCCAGTGAGGATGATTTCCTAAATTGATCCAGACTTTTATAGATGCATATAAGAGTGAAAATATCAAAGGGGTCATAGGCAAACTGTATAGTGCTATCTCTTCAATTAATAAAAATTCAATATACCAATTCACTATCTCAACAAATTAGAATACTTCATAAGACCAATAAAAAAAAACATTTTTAGTGAATTGTTGGCAAACTCACCAGACCTGAACCCCATAGAGAATCTATGGAGTATTGTCAAGAGGAAGATGAGACATCAGACCTGACAATGCAGATGACCTGAAGGCCACTGTCAAAGCAACCTGGGCTTCCATACCACCTCAGCAGTGCCACAGGCTGATTGTCTCCATGCCACGCCGCACTGATGCAGTAATTCATGCAAAAGGAGGCCCAACCAAGTATTGAGTACATGTACAGTAAATTAACATACTTTTCAGAAGGCCAACAATTCACTAAAAATGTTTTTTATTGGTCTTATGAAGTATTCTAATTTGTTGAGATAGTGAATTGGTGGGTTTTTGTGAAATGTGAGCCAAAATCATCCCAATTAAAAGAACCAAAGACTTAAACTACTTCAGTCTGTGTGCATAGAATTTATTTAATACACGAGTTTCACAATTGGAGTTGAATTACTAAAATCAACTTTTCCACGACATTCTAATTTATTGAGATGCACCTGTACATGCTATTAAAAATAAATAAACTTTAAGTACTAAAAGTAAAATTACATAATTACAGATGTATTTAATTAAAATTACAAAAAGTTAATCTGGAATCAAAACCATCCATATCCATTAAAAATAAATAAATTAATTAATTAATAAACAAATAAATACAACTAAATAAAAATAAATAAATAAAATACATTTGCTTAATAGGCTGTCATCAAACATGTCAGGCTATATTTCATTAAAAAAAGGAACAGTATAATTTCCATTATATTACATTCAGCAAACCCACATGAAGAAAAATTAGCCAAAGGACAGAGGAGCAGAGTAAAATGCAGCTAACGGCTACATCTTATGTTTAGTGAAATCTCCTGTCAGGCTCTGCAGTGTGAATGCTCTATTAAGTCTAGCATTCAGACTCTGTCCCCGCAGATCGACAGGAGTATAAAAGGTCTCTGTGACGCTGGTTTGCTTGTGACGCGTTTCGTGTTGAAAGCCTGAATGAGCAAAAGGAAGAGAATGAAAGGAACAATCTGATTGCAAGTCATCATATATCAAATTATCACCTTCCTGTGCCAACTTAATTATATTGTAAATTCATTCATCAATACTTAATTGAAGACCCAAAACAAACAAAACAAGTTAAAATCACCTAATATATGTTTTAATGTACTACTACAAAGTAGTAAATCACCCAGCTTCATCACAAACAAAAATATACACACATGCTTTATATGCTTTATATGTTATATATGTTATATATGTTATATATGTTATAT